AAAAATCTGCTGGATATAATATTTATATTTTTACAAAAGATAGCAGATAAAGTTTGTCGCCGAGTAAATGGTTTTCTCCCATTACAATGATGGCTGCCTTTGCATTCATATTTTAATGAGGTTAGTATCTCTGAGACAGCTTTTTCGGGGTGGAGGCCCATGTCTCCGGTACAATTACAATAGGAGTTGCTTTATTGACAAGTACTATTCAAAATCTTCACAGTATAGAAAGAAAGGCTTTAGTTTTCCACCACTTGTCCAAATACTTATTCCTCTCTTACTATTAAAACACTTTCAGAAAGAGCACTCTCAACTGCCTAGAGCCCTGGACACTCGGGCAGAGCACAGCTCAGTAAAAAAATACTTTGCTTAAATTCAAATTACATTTATTTCTCCGAAAATTTCCCTAGGCAAAACAAATGGACAACAAAAATTAATAGATTATCTTGGCAGCTTCTGCATCCATGGGTTTACAAGAACTGTGCTCATAGAGTTGCAACCCAATGTGTCAGCCTGACTCCCAACAAACCGGGGAAGACAGAGTTATTCAGGAATTACGCATCCAATGTGTAATTTATTAAAGAGAAACAAAAACAGAGTAAATCCAACTGTTAGCAAGTTATGCTCCGATGTTTTTATTCATCTTCTTTATGTATACTTGAGAGATAAAATACTTCTCATTATTGTAGCAAGGGAATACCACCCAGATCTAAATGTGATGCTAAATACAAGCCATGCTCAGCCTGAACTACTTCACGTAGCTGCCAGTACGTGTACAAAAACTTTCTCATGCATCCGAAAGAAAGCAAATGCAGCAAACCCACTTCTGTAAATTTGTGGGGTTTAACACATGGATTTTGAGGATTTGTTATTTTTGTTCAGCTGTTGGATGCGTTTTCTCCTGGGTCAGTGCTTGGCTTTGCTGCACAGGATAACGTCCAGGAGATGTGAGTGCCCTGTCTTTGGGCAGGGTACCCTGTGGCATTTGCGGGCTTTGGTTCAGCCACAGTCACAGTGTTCCTGACCAGCCAGGAAGCCACGGGAAAGGGCTGCAGTGGGGCAGCAGGGAATGTGACTACACACCTGAATACGAGTTGGAATATAGACATGGAAAAATACTTTTTTCCAGAATTTACAGAATAATACCCTTCTGCTTATGATACTAAATATCTCTATGTGTAAAGAAATACAGCCATGAAAAGTGGCTTTCCCCATGAGCTGGCTTAAGTTACTATCCTGGAAGTATCTTAGAAGGGGGATGAAATTTAGTGCAATTTATTGCTCTAGCAATCAGATTGCAAAAAAAACCCCAAATCCCTCCTGGAGTAACACTGACCTCAATAGAAGTGATGCCAGGGCTGAAACTAGACTGTGAGGTTGAATCTCACCTTCTGTTCTAAGGGCTGTAACACCTTCCTCCCGCATTCACAGGTTATTTTATGTTCTACCATTTTCAGAAACTGCCACGTATTTCTTCTTATTGGGGAGGAAAAGCCCTTGCCCTGTGCCTGAGCGTTGCCTGAGCCTTTTCCCTCCCCGCTGCGGCGGGAGGAAGCAGCAGTGGAGTTTGGAACACAAGTTTCAAACACAACTTCTGCCACCGCCTTCTGCCGCCAACAGCTTTTTCTTTTTTTTTTTCAGCTTGTAGGACATTGTGTTTTCTTGAAAAAAAAATATTTGCATCCCAGTGGATGAGACAGACTTTTAATAGCAAAATGCAGCTTTGTACAAGCCTGTCTTTACTGTAAAATAGGTTACGCTGCCCTACAAACAGGGATGGGAGTGAAAGACTGCAGCCTCATTATTTTTTTGGTCCTTTTTTTGGCCCTTTTTGCTTTTCCCAGACTTTTTTTTTTTTTAGGCACTTTTTTACTTTTCCCAGGTTGCATAAAACGTGGTCTTCCCATCCAGAATGTGACTGGGGGAGGGAGGGATTTCATAATGAGCCCCAACGCAAGAAGACGAGGAAGGGGGAGACAGAGAAAAAAAAAAACCTCTAAGCTTTAATTTTAATTCTCCTGCCTTTATTTATCTGATTTGTGGCCAGATGGTGGTGAAGCAAGGCAACCCCTTTGTGCAAATGAAGCCCACATGTGAAAGTCCTTCTGTAATGTAATCATTGAGACCGGAAGGGTTCATACTGTGTCTGAAAAGAGACAATGGAGCCGGGATATATCAACATCGCCGAAATCGAGTTCATTTGCGATGCAGGCCCTTTGACTATGGTTGTCATGAAAACTTCCTACTTTGATCAGCAGAGGGTGGAGAGAAAAAGAAGAAGAAGGAAAAAAAAAAAAAAGAAGTCTTCTAAAGGGGCAGGGATGCGGCGCGGGTGTTTGCTGTGCACTTGGCTCCGGTTCACGCCCCTTTCCGGAAGACGCAACAGGGAGAGGAGCATCTTGCACCTTGACCTGTCTAGACGGGGTGCGAAGTTTGGGGTTTTTTTTTTTTTTTGTGTCCCGGTTTCCAAGGGGGAGGGGTGCTCTTTGACCCCCCACCCCCGCGGGGGGGGGCTCTCGGGGCGTAGGTAGCGGCCGGAGGTTTCCTGCCGAATTCTCGCCGCGGCCGGGAGGGAAGGGGATGGACAAAGACACGGACCAGCTGTTCGGAAATAAAGCTGAAATAGTAGAACCTGGGAGAAGCTAGGTTTTGTAAGCTATTATTTTCCGCACAAAACCCCTGGGAGGTATTAAACAGCTGCATCTGAGCTGGCGAGCAGCGGCTAAAAGACAGAGCAACAACTGAAAGCCCGGGACTTTTGCAAACTCCGCTTCAACTAGAGAAACAAGTAGCTGGAGCGCCAAGGGCTTTCATG